ACCTAAACGAAAGTGGTTCAGCGGGGAGAGCCTCGAGAAATGGGAAAAGGACATACCGGTGGCGATGGAGCCAATTCTGTCGGTGGTGCGTCGATCTCTTCTCCCAGAAAGTATCCCCTCCGCCGTAGTTCCTGGTCCAGTTGATACCTAAAGGCGAATGTTTTGAGCGGTACGCGAAGACAGACCTTTGGTTTTACCTGTACTGATGATAGCGTTTCCTAATCTGCCATTGATACTGCTGTTCTTCCATTCGTAGAATACGAAGAAAGTTGTCCAATTCGGGAACCTCAAACGCCTCCCACTGAAAATAACGGATTTAGTTGCTCAAGAACATCAGCATGTCGCCATTTACCGTACACACATTCCTTCATGCTTAATCAAGGACGCGCCATGTACTCGACACTCATTCTCAATCGCTAAGTCGTGTGAACGTATGTTTGGTTCATAAATACATGTAGGACCCGTCCTACTTTTATTTATGCTTATTAGTAGGGCGGAGATGGTTTAGGAAGCAGTGGAAAGTAGCGCCTAGCCATAACCCGTACGGTCGTGACATCAAGGACTGGCCCCTACGCCCTCCAAGCCAACCAAGTCTAGCGTCCTGCTGGATCGGTTAGTTAGAGCTCAGAGGATGACAACACTAGTTGTGCATCTACTGCCCCCCCCTCGCTCACTCAGTCAGTGGATTTGTATAGAGCGGATCTCAATCGCCACTACGACCCTGAATGGAAGGATGCGTGGCGCATCCTAAAAAGGATTGATCAACGTCAAGTGGTTTTTCGTACGCTGAGTTATTTACACTTTTTATTTATATTTACATCTGGCCTGATTGCAATCCACTGTCACTACCCTTTCGGACTATCCTAGTAAAGGATAAGGATAAAGCATTTGCCGTTGATCAATCCCTTTTTGGGATGCGGCACGCATTCTACTTCCATTTGTACATTCGTAGTGGCGTTTGAATGCGATGTGGCCTATACAATGACTTGCGGGGGCCAGCCGATGTACAAGTCAGTGTTTTTATCCTCCCAGACAAGTCTGGTACCAATTAACCGACCCCGGAGGGATGGAAGGCTTGGTTGGCCCGGGCGACTCACGACCCAGGATTTGATCCCCGGACCGCTCGCGTGGTAAGCGTGCCACTTGCCACTACACCACTTCCGCCCTTTTTGTTGGTGTGTAAAAACTATTATGCAATTTTCAGGTTGAAAAGTAAGATTCTGGAGCTGCAAAAATATATGCGAAAAAACGTTCGGAAACCGTTGAGCCTGAAGGGCAGCCCGGAACGATTAAATGGAAGCTATGCGAGCTACTGGTGTACATAGTGTATATTGTACATAGATTATTGTAGACTTTTAATAAATCTCAGATTCGTTCCATGCCCATTAATCAACTGTGCTTACATCAAAATTTTATTTTCCACATTTTGATCATGGGCACTACTCACCCTTTATTGCCCACTCCTTGAGACCAAGCTGGATTTTAACAGCTCATCGCGAGAACGCCTGGCACCCGCGCCACAGGCACCAAAGCTATCCCAACAGATTCTCGGCGCCAGTAGCACAGGCTACAGGCTCACTTTCAGCAAACTAATGTGATAACCATGTTCTATTGTCTACTACCTCTGACGACAAATTTTCAGCATTTGTCGACCCAAGGTTTTTGGTCGCTCTTTGGCACTGTGGCACTTGCGCTAGGAGTTTCCGCAAAGGCATGTAATATTTGTGGTCTACTCTCAAACTACCAACGTGGGCAACTTTCGCCCAGCTCAGTTATTTCGAGGAGTAAATGGGTAAACAGTCTACAATGGCAACATGCTCGCATCGTGGCTTGATTTCGGTACTCGCTAATCTAGTCGGGTTAAACTGACGGCTTCTCAGGCGACTTCGTTATTTTCAATGCTGCCAAAATAGTTCGGCAAGGGGAGTGACTACTTCCGAATGATAGCCGCAGAGGGACAGTGGCACGTATCTGGACAAAATCTGTCACGCCAGATTTGCCAGCTTTGGCAAGCAAAGTATTTTTTTTTTTTTTTTTTTTTTTTTTTTTTTTTTTTTTTTTTTTTTTTTTTTTTTTTTTTTTTTTTTTTTTTTTTTTTTTTTTTTTTTTTTTTTTTTTTTTTTTTTTTTTTTTTTTTTTTTTTTTTTATTTTTTATTTTGTATATATTAGCTATTATTAAATATTTTTGAGATGTGTGTACAATGTTTGGTATTATCTGTTTAAATATAGACTTAAGTGTTTATGGAACCAGATATTAGGATGAGCGCCATGAGGACTATATATTTACTATTATAAAAGCAATACAGGGGAACACAGAGGGGCAAGCCGGGCGGAGGGAATAAGGGAAATCAGCGGGAGTTTTAATTTCCTAGCATGCTGATGTGAGGAGAAGATGTGGAGGGAGAATTCTTGTCATGGACGAATTTCGATCAAAATTCTGTTCATTTTGGATGTAGATCAATTCCCGCCTCCCCCCCGCGCTCTATTAACCAATAGCTGCTTTTAACTTGTGTCATACTTTAGCTTTGAACTCCTTTCTATCCTAAGGCTTCCCGTATTTTGCTGAAACTACTAAGTAACTTAGGAATTAGTAGAAATACAAGGATAGAGGCATTTTCGCATTTGCCGTTGATCAATCCCTTTTTGGGATGCGGCACGCATTCTACTTCCATTTGTACATTCGCAGTGGCATTTGAATGCGATGTGGCCTATACAATGACTTGCGGGGGCCAGCCGATGTTCAAGTCAGTGTTTTTATCCTCCCAGACAAGTCTGGTACCAATTAAGATAAGAACGAGAAAACCGACGAGTTGGAAGGCTTGTAATCTAATGGACGACTCACGACGGCGCAGAAATTTTGATCTGGACGTCACGTGATAAGCGGCGCCACTTGTCATAACCCTTCCGCGTATATATACCATCTATTGTATAGTATTTACACACTATTGTGTACAATTCTTCTTAATGATAACATTGTCTATTTGTGCATATATAATAAATAAATAAAAGGTGAATAGCGCATTTATCATTTATTCTGGGCGGCAAAATATAACGTATTCAACGATCTTTCTTGAGGATGTTAGTTTATCATGTTTAAAATCCAATTTATTTTTGTTGAAAGTTCAGTGTTCTATAGAAGTTATGCTCTTCCCACACAACCTAATATTTAGTGTGAAGCTTCCCACCTACAACGCGAAGAAAATTCGCGTTGTAGTGGGTAAGCCTTCACTCTAAATATTAGGGTGTGTAGGAAGACTATTACCGTAATGCTACTGGCTGATCCGAGACTATTTGATTAGGCCAATGGAAATTCTCTTGTAGACACCTCACCTGATAATAGCTACTCTACTCAATGTGTGAGGTCCTTTGCTATGGGCACAATGCCAAAAGCGTATATTCTGACTGAGTAGAATCCCCAATTAGTCTAGAGATGGCTATCACACATGATATCCTTCAGCAATGGATACTGTAGGGCACTGACAGTAGCTGTCGTGTGTGGAATGATGAGAAACATCTAAGCTCCGCTAATATAGTCCAACCAGAGAGAGTCTTCTATATGCTTCAGAAGTCGTCTTCATAGGTCAAATTTTGTGATCCGTTTTTAACTGAAGACAGGGAAAGAGAGTAGTTACGGCACCCCTTAACACCAACTGCAGTGAGCGAAAAATAGTAAAGTAGGCGTTTCTGTGGCCCTAACTGATCCTGCCTTCAGCGCTGATTAGGGAAAGAAAGCGCTTAACCGGCGGTTTCCGAGGTGAACAATCCTCCTCGACACAAATCTAAGATCCGTTGCAGAAGCTAGCTAATAAGTTGTGGGATTTCAAGGCTGGGCGAGCAAGTACGTGGCGCCTACTAGAAACCGACCAAATTTAGACCCATACACCCCTTTACTTTTTTATTTGGGATGTTTCTTCAATAATTCCCTCCCCATTGCTCCCTCTCATGCCTCCTTTCGAACCACAAACCTTTTTCTGACACCAAACAACTTAGGCGGCAGTATCACTAGCCACATGGTGGCTCCATCTCCCCACTTCTGCTGATTTCTGGCGATTAGCTGAGGCATTTGTAGATCTCCTAGAGCGCTAATGACCCTAGTGATGTGTCACATCAAACGCTCACATCAACTCCATACGTCGCCCATCAACATGTCCGTTCGCACCTGCCCACGGACTATCAGCAACTGTCTATCTGTCCGGCCGACGACAAAGAGCGCCCGAGCGTGTTATCTATATCCGATCGCTGCAACGGCGCAACGATTTCAGATCACCTACATCAGACATATTTCCGGACATATTTACTGCACATACCATGCGAGATTAGAGCGCAACTTCGGCCACCTGCCTCATTGAACCTGCCCGACGCCCTGCTTTCCTACCGTTACCTATAGGTGATATGTAGTATTGAGGAAACAACCAGATATATCCCTCGATAGCTTCGACGTCAGGGTTCATTTAAAAACTTCAAGGTTATTCAGATAAGCCACAAGATCGTTCTCGGCGCAGCAAACCCTAACATCGACCAGGGAATATACTTAACTGCGCATTCCAAGTTTCCTTGGTGAAGGCTTAGGAGCGGTCAAAATCCCTAATTTCAGAGTTTCTGAATTAGAAGATTGACATCTACATAGAGAACGCTCTCCCCCGCAAGCGGTTCATCTCTTGAGATTAATCCTATGACCCTGAATATCCATGCCAAGTACCGAAGAGCTTGCCGAATGTACTTGATGGCGGGATGGGGTTACCAGCTGCCGTACTTGAGGACACGTCACTTCTGTGATGCTGAGGAAGTCTGGCATGTGTCGGCAGAATGCGCAGATATCCCCCAATCTCTCTCTGTATGATTTCCGCACATCCACGCGACATAAGGAGAGAAATGTGAAACTATCCACGGTTGTTAACCGTTAGAGGATG